GAATTAGTCAAGAGGCTGGTTTTTATCTGAAGTCATCGGCCAGGTGTAAAAGTTGGGCAGCCTAAAGTCAGTATAAAATACTGCTACAGTATAACAGACCACAGACAGATAATGTTTGGGTGGGGGCAGCAACAAAATGGGCAAAAGGCCCAATCCGAAGACAAATTACATCTTCAATAGAGCTGTGTCTTGCTTTTTCCCCTTTCTCTTTCCCAAAAGCCACCAGACTCCTTTGACATATCAGTAATTTTACCTCCCAGATAACAGTTACTGGTCCAACGCTGCCTCAGTTTGTTAGTTATTGTGTAATTTTGGTGAATCGCTTTAAAACACAGTAACAGGATGGAGGATGTTTTTTTAAAGCAGCGTCTGTTTATCTGTTTTGGATTAGCATTGCTTTCACTTAAACTGAAACTTTTTGAGTTTGCTATTCACAAAACAGCTCAGTTTCTGTGAACCATGCCTCAAAGAAAAGGCCTCTCAGAAGACCTTCATTATTGATTTAGGATATATAAAAGTGGAAAGGGGTAACAGGCTCATCTCCAAGACCATCTATGCAAAGTCAGACAATTTGCCTTCTAACAAAGGTTACTACGAACTGTCGCAAATCTCAGAAGAAGTGGCCAAGATTACTGCAAGGGCACAAAGAAGAATGCTGTATGAGGTAAAAAAAAAAAAAAAAGGAGGCCTGGAATCACAGGCCTAAAGGAGTTATGGGAAAAGGTTGACTAACATCTGTTCACGAGTCCAGCTTAGTGTGGCACCTATAAAAAAAAATATTTTTTTGTAGTACATGCCCAGTTACTTTAATTGTAACATTTTGTTTAATAGCATACTGGAACAACTATTTGTTCAGTAAACTATAATTTATTATTACACTTGCCAGTAGGTGGGTACGCGATATAGAAGACGTTGCAGTTTTTAGATGAAGCCCTTGGTCTGTTGTATGTGTGCCCGGTGCTGCAGTACCAACAGCTTGTATGTCTTTACAGTCCTGCCGGTGAAGTAATAAAGATAAAGTTTTTCTACACCACTAATGCAGCTGCTGTTGCACCAAACTGAGTGGTGTAACATATGCAGAATTTGGACAGACATGGTGTCCTGCAATGGACAACGGTGGAGTGAGACATTGCTCTAAAAAAAT